TTTTTTGCCTAATTATTATTATGTGTTTAAATGTGTATTATTAATAAATATTATTATATGTATTATATATATATATATAAAGGGTTGGGTTCAAGTGAGAATGATACTTAATGAAAGAAATAAGAATGTATCCTAACCATACAATCTTAACATCCAACGTCCAAAATTAATCCCATGTTGTACACTTATTAAAGGGCACATTGGACATTATCCTTTATCCCCACCCATTCACACCTATACTACACATATGTGGGTCCCACCCCAGCAACACGTGATACACATCCCCCTTTCTCTTCCATTTTCTTATCTCGGCACCCCATCCCATTTTTCTGAAAAATTGCTGGCCTCCCGGCCACCGCTAAACCCGTCGCCGCCGCCGAATCCGCTAATGCCTCCTCAGTTAAAGTCGCTGATGCAGTTAAATCACCCGACGCCGCCGCCGCCCGTGATTCTGAGATTTCAGCCGCCGCCGCCCGTGATTCTGAGATTTCAGCCGCCGTCTACGATCCTGAGATTGTCGCCGCCGCCTACGATCCTGATATTCTCGCCGCCGCTGAACACCCCGCCGCCGCTGAACACCCCGCCGCCGCCGCCTGTATTTCTCATCCACCGCACCAGTCCCGCCGTCTCTGTCATCATCCGGGCCCGCTCGAGCAGATAAGGCATCGCACACTCCCGCTCCCGTTCCGCTCGATGATGTCTAGTGAGGCGGCTATCTGCGCCCTCCCCGCCGCCGTTTCCGCCTCTCCGTCGGCGTCTCCACTCTTCCCGACGCCGGCGCCGTTGACCTAGGTTGAATATTGGAAACAAGCTGCATAACAATAAAGGGAATGGAAATTTGTTCAGAAATTATGATTGGACTAGTTTTTGTAAATTAGATAGATCCAAGTGACTTATCTGCAAATTAAATAATTTAATTATATTGCAATTAAGTTCACATGTTAATTTAAAATTAATAAAAATTTATTAGTTAGCACTTTAATGTTTATTGCACAATCTGACGTTTTTTATTGCACATAAAAAATACTCTCAGTCTGCGCAATGATGACACGCATAAATCGAGAAATGGTCCAAATTTTTCGGCCTTGGGCCATGGCTTGATCATGACCTTATGGGGATCTCTTACCCCCGGCGCGTGTTAGCTTAAACCAACGTTTTAGGCCTTTGGCCTCCTTTATTGTACCCAAAAAAAAATACTCTCAGTCTCTCACAATGCACATTATTTCACATTATTATGTTATCGTATAAAGTAGTAATACACTTTATATGAGCACGATGCACTTTATAAACTGAAACGTTGCACTGAATAAAACAAATCGTTACACTTTATCACAAGACTCCACCATTAACGCTAATAGCTCCACCAAAATACCACACTACATAATTGAAATAATGTATAAAAAATTTAATATGTGAAATTATAATATATAAAAATATTAAAATAATAATTATAATTTTATAATAATAAATAATAATTTATTTAAATTGTTTAGGTTAAATCTATGTACAATTATATCTACTATTCTAGATTTCAAAAACACATAATTTATTAGTGATCATATATATTAGTGCACTTTATATACGACCGAGTTCCACTTTATATTAATTAGATGTAAATTATATATATTAAAACTAGATTTCAGATATATATATGGTAAACTATAAATTAGTGCAATTTATATAATAAAACATTGCACTTTATAATAAAAAATGTCGCACTTTATAAACACATTCCACAATTAATATCAACAAATTACGCCAAAATATTACGCAATATGAAAATAAAAAAACGGAGCTACATAATACTTTCATATCCATCACGTTATATATAAAAAATAAGTAAATAAACAAATAAACACATTCGTAAAAATATACTGGATTATCAGTATTTGCACTTTATATATCAATAAATTGCACTTTATACAACAACACGTTGCACTTTATAACACAACACGTCACACATATCAAAATTATAGTAATTCTAATAATCGATCGAATAATATTAATTGGTTAATTACTTAATGTCAAAATTAGTTTTTTTATTAAATAAACAACATAACCGCACACTTCGAAATATACGAAAAACTATTACCGGTTATTTATTTATTTATGTTTTTTATTATAATTAATACTATTTTTTATCTATATTTTTTTTATGTATTGCGATTGCACATTAGGGTTATACAGATTGCACACAATTATTAATCACATTGCACAAAGACGAACGATATCAAACGAATAGAAATTCAGTACGAATTTTTATATTTTTGTTCTGTTATTGTTGTTGTTATTATTATTATTATTACTATTATTATTATTATTATTATTATTATTATTATTATTATTATTATTATTACTATTATTATTATTACGATATCATTTTTTATAGGTTTAAAAAATTACTAACACTATTTTTGTATTTATTAAATTCTTAATAATTTAGTATTAATATTTATATCACTAATTAATTGATGTTATAATTAAAGTTTTACAAAAATTACAAAAAGTCCCTAACATTAACCTAATTTACATAAAACTAACCCCTAAAATCAATTTTCACACAAATCAACCTTGCATTTCACTTCACCACGCCAATTCACCGAAAATTGATCCAATAATCATAATGAAAATTCACCTACAATTCACTGCAAATTGTTCACAGAAACAGAATGAAAATTCACCTAAAATCTTTCACATAACAGAATCATTCAAGTCAATTCACCTAAATCAAAATCAACCAGAATCACGATGCAATTCCTCAGCCCCAAGGCGTTTCCGGTTGCCGCCTTCCATCTCCTGTTCAGGTCCCCGTCGCCGTCGCTGTCTCTCTACTATTCCCGACTCGTCTTCTTCTGCAACTCGTCTGCAACACACGAATCTTCTCTGCAGAGGAGGCGGATGGCGGAGACGAGGCGAGGTTGCTGTGGCCAGACGAATGAGGCGAAACAGCGGAATGTTGGTTGAAACGGAGGCGATGTGGAGGTTGTCGACGGCGATTGTGGTGGCCGTCGACGTGAGCGCCCTCTCCGTGAGATCTGGGCGAGTTGTCGGACTCGGCGATTGGTGGCGGAAGCGGGTCTAACGACGGCGGCGACATTACGACGGGCTCGATACGGTGGCAGTGGCATGCCGGAATCAACGAACTGTGGCCGGGCTGTGGTGGGCTTCCGGCGGCGTCGGGAGAGAAGATGTATCGGTAGGAAGGGAGAGAGAAGAGAGAGGAGAGAGGAGAGATATATTGTTGGAGATAATTATGGTGGGACCCATTTAATTTATTATTTTGTGAAATTACACTATTACCCTCCAAGTTATTTATTTGTCCATGAGATAGTAATATATTAACAGTTTTGCCACTAGGTTTGACTATTATAATTTAATTTTGACTTAAACATAACCATTGATATAATTGATCTAATGATCCATAATCATTCTTATTTCTTTCACTATATACCATTCTCATATGATCCCTTCTCTATATATATATATATATATCATAATAAATTGTTTATTTTCAGAATTTGCTAAATGAATAAACCAATTTGAATGTTACCATAAAATTATATTTTGTGTATATATATGGCAACCTAAATCATTGATTATAATAAATATGATGAAATCAAAAAGAATATTTCATAAATGAGAATTCTAAAATTGGCGCCATATAAATTTGAATATTACTATAATGTTATATTTTGTGTATATAGCATATATGATAATCCAAATTAATGATTCTAATTAAAATAAAAAAGAATCCTCCATAAATGAAGATTCCAAAATAAGCTACATAATTATGTACAAGAAATCAACTACATAAATCAAGATTCCAAAATAACTTTTACCTACAAAATAACTATTAACTTAATTAAAAAAAACATATAATTGTCTAAAATAAAAACAGAATGAAATCTGAGTTATATGGAAACTATGCAATTAATGATTTATTTTTTTATTTAAATAGTATTATATTATTTCTATCTATAGTAAGTAATTAATGCTGATGGCGGGAAAATGTTACTAAAAATGATTTAAGTTAATCCTTATTATATATTAATAGATTATTATTAAAAAAACAATTGTTTATAAACTTCTAAAGTTGTTTGACTATGCTATTACAACAATTTACTAATTATTTTTAAAGAAATTTTTTCATGATATACAAAAGAA